CAACTCGGGCATGTGGGATTGATGGTTTTCCAGTAGCAAGTGCATCAATGTTTTCCATGAAGTATTTTTTGGGCAGCTTGCCCACTACATTCCCTTCTTCATTACCATTTTTATCCAAAAATGCAAAATGTGGAATACCCTCAACACCAAATTCATCTAGTTCTTGTTCCCATTTCGTATTATCAACATTTAGCATAACGAAATTTACCCGATCTCTACAGAAAAAAAAAAAAAAAAAGGTTTTTGAGATTATAAGTTAAATATTTATTTCTTACTTTCTAAAAGGGAAATTCGTAATTGAAAGAGATTTACTTGTATTGTTGCTCAACTTTGAAAACATCTGGAGCTAATTCACGACAAACCTCACACCAGTCTGCATAAAACTCCACAACAGTTGGCTTCCCATTTGAAAGAGCCTATGAATAAGCAAAACAAATTGTAAATCAATGTCTGGAATTAAAAAACTTGATATTGAAAATGGTGGAAAAGAGTAACCTCTTCATAAGGTAAGGATGCAGCAGAAAGATCTTTCAAAGAAACACCAAAATCAAGTCTACCTGAAGCAAACAGACCTACTGCTCCAAGAACAGAAGCTATTGCAACTCTCCGATTGAGGGTTTTGTTTGGGAGAGCAGGTAATCCACCATCACTTGGAGAACTTGTAACTTCGCTAACCTTATCTTCTTTATCAGAACCAGATTCAACAATGGAGTTTTTCTGCATTTAGATTTACAAATCGTTTAGAAAATGTAGCTGAATTCTGTTTCGATTGGTTAATTAGGGTTTATCCCAATACTGTGTGTGCTAACTAACTGAAACGAATTCTATACATGATCTTTAAAGTGTTTTGCACCAATTCACCTAAACTATCCTATCAGCTCCTGTTTGTAGTACAATCTGGTTCCAAAATGTCTATGAATTTTAAGAAATGGAAATCATTTGACGTTCTTCAACAATCACAGTTAAATTTCGATGTCAAAACAGTCAAATTCATGATTGATACAAGTGTGTAAAACCAGAAACCATAGGTCGCAGTTTTTCCTGAAATTTTTAGAAAGAATATCTGATTTGAACTTCCGGAAACAATTTCATAATCGAGAGAGAGAGAGAGAGAGAGAGAGAGAGAGAGGACCTCGGAGTTGGAATCGGTCGGATTAGGTTCAGTTTGGCAGTACAACCGCTGGAATCTGAGCTTTCTACTGCGAGAATGAACGGAGGGATTTATGAAACGAAGAGATTTTATGGCGGGATGAATACAAGACGGCCGGAATTTATGGAGTCCGACGGGATTTGAAGAAACTCGAGCCATTCAGTTCTTCTGTAGTGACCGGAATTTTAAAATACCTCACCGGAAAACTACAGTACTCCGAGAAATGCGGATTTTTTAGTAACGTCTAACGTGTGAACTGTGAAGTGTGACGCTTGCTAGTTGCTTATCAGATAGATATTAAGCATTTGACATTTGAGAATTGAGTCGTTGACTGGACTAACTTTACAAGCTTGGGCTCATAAATTTATATGGCCCATATGAAAAAGTTATAACCACATCCTCATGTTCTCATTGAGTTATCAGTTTAAATATGAAAGTTGAAACCGGTTCAGTTTAGAAGGTTGGAAAAGAGTTTTTTTTTTTTTTTTTTTATATATATTTTTGTCAAATGCCATATAGACGTATTGTGGCCGTATTTATCGTCAACATGACCATTTTACCCCTTATTCGTTAGTTTAAATAGGCTATGTATGTGTCATTACAAATACAAATATTGGAATTCAACTAAAAATAAGATGATACAGAATAATTTTAACATGCAATGTGTTTGAATGATTTTACACGGTTCAGTGGATTTGTACTTCTATTTTACGATTCATTAGCTAAATTTGTAAAAGTGCCAAGTGATTAAACATATAATTATGTTTGAATTGTTTGGTTATGTGTATGGAGAAATTTTATATTGAACTTTAATTATATTACTTATAACCACTTTTTAATTACAAAACAAAGTTCTTTTTATATCCTTTGATAATGTGAAGAATAATGTTGTGGTGGTTAGACAATTAAACTTGTAATATAAATTGTTTCTTGATGATGTTATTTTTCCATACTCAATGTGTACAGACGAACTTAAATATATTAAGGATATAAAGAGAACTTTTAAGCAGTGTTAGTGTGATATTTTAGTTGTAAACAATACTCAATGTCATAAATATATAATTTTTTATTGTTAGAAATAATGCCTATTTCCTTACAATCTTAATCACCCAACAAGTATGGATACTACTACTTAATCTGGTTACTGCAGTTTTGTTGGGGACTAAAGTCGTAACTTTTTGGAACTTGATGGTTTAGTTATAGATTTATAGTTTAGTTGTGTAATACTTACAGCTGGATGTACAACAGGAAACTACATAAAGGAGATTGGAAGCTACTGATTTGAAGTGTTGATGACTATTTATCATTATATACGTATTTGTCCCACATTGGGTTCAAATACGTTCCATGTTTAGGTTATACCCTATATATAGAGATTTTTGTATTGAATGCAAAATTATCAGATCATTTTGCATGTAGTTCATTCATACAAATTATTCGCATTTCTTTGTTCTTACACATTAGGGTTAACTCTTTTAGGGTTTCATGTTCATTATCCATTACAGTTAGAGTAAGATATATGTGTGTAATCATAAGAGACTAGTGTAGGAAACTTGTAGTGATGTTTGAGTTGTAATAGTATATGTAAATGTTCTGGTTTGATTTGAAATCGAGCTGATCATGTTGGGAATTTGTGTTTATAATTGTCATTTATGTCGATAGAATTACAATTGGTTAGATCTGAATTTGGATGTATCTACTAAGGTGAGTGCACATGGACATTTACCCATTTTAGGATACATGTCACAAAATCTGAAATAGGTTTGATAATGAGCTTTCTTATCAACAGGTCCTACTACAGAATAGTTAGGTCAATTGAAAATATTACACAACCATAAAATTTTCCTATAAAAACTCCTTTGACCACCCCATGTATTTACTAAGGTGAGTGTACATGGACATTTGCCCGCGGAGCTAGATGGGGCGTTGATGGTACTACAGAACTCCCAAAAAATTGTTATATATATATATATATATATATATATATATATATATATATATATATATATATATATATATATATATATATATATATATATATATATATATATTATTTGTTAACATGTTTTATGTTATTGTACCCCCAACTAAATAGATTATAAATGTTATTAATACCCGATAGTGGATAACTATATATAATATATTGACAATATTTGTACCACATATCAAAATTCTTGGTTTCACCATTGCATTTGCCCATTTTAGGATACATGTCACAAAATCTGAAATAGGTTTGATAATGAGCTTTCTTATCAACAGTTCCTACAATAGAACAGTTAGATCAATTGAAAATATTACACAACCACAAAGTTTTCCTATAAAAACTCCTTTATACACACATACATCCGAAAAACAATGTAAATTTAAATCCTTCTCGGCATAAGGCGACTACAAATGGAGTTTTGACATGATTGCCACCTTATAGTGGGTTAGAGATACAAAAAAAGTGTTTAGGATATGTATGTGTCTTGAGTGCCAAAAAGTAGGCTTTGCACCCCAACTTCTCAAGGGTGATTCCCTTATATGGTGAAATGACACTTACACTATAATTGGAAAACAAAAAATATAATTGTGCAGTTGGAAAGAATTTTTAGTACTGTGAAGGTAAATTTGGTGCTAATTGTGACCTTTGATGAGATTATCGAGGTTTACACTTCCTTTGATATATATACAATACAAAGAAAATATTGCTAATGTTTCATGATCGACTTCTCTCGTGAGGTTTGTGATGGGTTGATATGACATGTTCATATAATACATTTTACCAATTTTTTTTTATCTTAGAACATCCACCTTAAGAGACTTTTTCAGTATGTTTTTTGATACGAGATCATCACCACATCAACAAACCAAAAACCTTAAAATGCCTCAATTATCATAAAGTGTTTTCACAAAAGTTATTTATGTATCCTATCAATAACTTTTTATTTGTAATTTATTAAAACAAAAGAATAAAATAACTCTTTTTTTTTTTTTCAAAAAGTATTGTAGATCTTCCAATATCTAATGGACTCCATGGTTTTCAATGGTTGTACTCGGATATTAGTTTTTCGTATCGATATGGCTGTGTCAACTGTGTGACTGTGTGTGTACAAACGTGACACGTATACAAAAAAAAAAAAAAAAAAAAAAAAAAAGTTTATATCTACCATTGAATGTAGAAATCGAAAACTTTACATAATCGTAATTCCTTATAAGAAAAATGAAAAAACAAACGCTGTTGATGATTTGATCATGTATTCATCACCAAACTACTTTAAGAAACAAACACGATCAACAGATATGCAATTCAAACAACTGATTAACAAACAACAATCAGAAATCAAAGTTTGATTAATGATTACCTGTGAATCTGTGATAGTAATCGATCAGAATTTCAAAATTAACTTTCAGATCCTAATATTCCATTAACCACCGACGTAGCAACCAAAATCCCAACAACCTCCGCACCAGCAACCACTCCCGCCTGCGTCAAACCACCTCCGAAACGGACCTCCGTCTCAATCTCCATCTCCGCCGCCTCGATCTGTCTCTCCGCCGCTTCGACTCCTTTCTCAGCTGACTCAATTCCTTCCTTCACGATCTCCACCGCTTCTTCCTCTGCCTTCTTCAGCTTCTTCCTCAATCCAAATAGCCCTATGTCCTCCGCCATCGACGGCATCTCCATTGCCGTAATTGCCGTTGTTGCCGTCATAAGAAACAATAGATGTCTCCGGCTCTGGCCATCAGATTGAATCGACGGAGGCGCGACTTTAGGGCATTGTGCCTTGTAGGAGGAGACAGGTGTTGTGGTGCGGGAGCTCCGGCTAGAGAATGGGTTTAGTAGCATATTCAAGCTTCTGCAAGACATGGCTGAGTGCTGAGTGGTGATGAGTTTCTCTGCGGCGGAGCTTGATGACTACTGGTTTCTCATTTTGTGGCCAAGTAAAATACCGATCAGATAGCCAACTGGTTTATTACCATATAATCCTTCCAAGATTGTTGATGACGTGGCACAATATTGTTGGATCAATATTCTGTTTATTTTGGCGGATTTTTGTTTAATATTTGATTAAATACGAATTAAAATAGGAGAAATTACAATTTTTATGAAAATAAAAATATTTCGCAATGATACATGTGAAATATCTCCATTAAAAAGTATATTTTCATAAATTTTAACTTGTATTTTTGTCATTTAGGGTAATTATGTTCACAATAATTCATGTTGGAAAATACAATTCCATAGTAAAATACTTTTTTAAGAATTTTACATGTAAATAGACTTATTAGGTAATTAGTTTTTCTGTTTGTTAATATTTGGGTAACTATCTTTTTTTTATACACATCTAGGTAACGAACTTTTTGAAAGTGTTCACGTATGACTATTATGACCTACTGTAACAGGTTACATCCGGCCATAACTAGTCATATGGTCATATGTGAACACTTCTAAAATGTTCCTTACTAGATGTGTATATAAAAAAAGATAGTTACTTATATGTGAACAAACCAAAAATGTAAGAATAAATTATACGAATGGTCCTTATGGTTTGGGTAATTTGTTGTTTATTTTTGTTATCTGTTTGCTCCCTTATCTTACCTCAAAAAAACTATTGTGCCATTTTTAATTAATTTATTTATTTATGCACTTATTTTTATATTCAAAAACAATTAATAAATCCAACATATCTGTATCCTCACCCTAAACCTAAAACCACATTTGGGAATTTTAAGTTGGGCCCCACCAGTCACCATCTCATCTCTCATCCTCCTCAACTTCTATTTTCTTTCCATCTGTAGTGACATCGATGCCTTCACCGTTCCTTCTTTTTTCGGTCCTTCAAATCCGATGAACCAACACCACAACCCTTCTATTAGGTTGTGGTGGTGAAAAATTCAATGAAGAAACAATGAGTTGTGGTGTTGGTTCGTCAGAGTTGAATGACCGAAAAAAGAAGGGATGATTAAGATAATGATGTCTGTCACAACTGGCATTTTTAGCCAGGAAATTCTGTGATCATGTAAACATCATCTATGATAATATTTGTAACCCTAACTTGACACCATGCACTATGTTTATTCAATAACACCAAGTAAAGATCAAAACCCTATACAACACACTTCAAATAGTCAATTAAGGATTGGAAACCCTAAAAATCCGGGTTTAAGTTTATTATTGGACTAGGATCTACTTATTGTGCCATTTTGGGTCCAAAATAAATTGGTTTATCCTTAATGGGCCTTATTGGGCCATAACAACTCCACTTAACCCTAATGGACCATAAAACCCATTTTTTATGTCATTTGGGCCGTGACCTACCCTAAAGGCCCATTAGGCCGAAAAGTAATTAATTAGGCCTCATAATTTCGAGTAAAGACAAGTAAAGGCCTAAACTATTCCACCCTTTCTCTTAGCCCAAAATTCTCAGCCCAATATATATATATATATATATATATATATATATATATATATATATATATATATATATATATATATATATAAAGGGGGATTATGCATGGGAGGAGGTAATGACACCTCATTTTTATTTTGAGGACAACCAAGTTATTTGCCTAGCATGCAACTAAGCAAGAAATTAGCCATGGAGTAATGACCAAATTGGAAACCCACCCTCTCTCTTTATTACCCTCGGTCGAGAGGCAAACCACACACATACATACTCCATTTTCTAACACTCTCAAATCTCTCAAGAACAATCCTCCTTCCACCAAGATTTTCGAGATTTTTGCATGTGTTCCAAGAAGATTCTTCACTAATATCATAAATCCTTGGTAAGATCTTGTACACTTAAGTTGGATTGCGTCATTATTTAGCTAAATCACTCCATATCAACATCTATTTTGTGATTTTGCTTCCTACAACTTCTTAAGTTCGAAATCCACTCAAGAAAGCTTGTTAGGATAAAAAATCTCTTCATCTCTTCTTCAAAACCGAAACATCAAAGCAAAGGTGAGTTCATACCCCCTTGTTTTCGGTTTTCATATGATTTTTGGGGGAGAATACAAGTAAAATGCATAGATCTATGTGTTATATGCATGTCATGTGTGATTTCTTAGCTTAAGGGTTTTAATATTTAGGCCTTACGGTTTTGGGCCCAAATTTGCGAAAAAATGAATGTTTTGGGATTAAAAATGTTATTTGACCAAAGTTTGAGTCATAAATGTAAATAAATCAAATTTAAGGGTGAAAATAACATTTATTTCTAAACTGGATCAAAAATGTAACTTTTATAAAAATTGGGCCGAGGACAGGCAATCTAGTCATTATCATGCATGGTTATAACGGCTCATATAGAGATCCAATACCAATTTAACATTTCGGAGATTAACCCTTCAATTGTGTCAATACAAAACTACTTATTTGATGATACAAGAACCTCGACATTATTACAAATCAGAAAATATCGGATTTTATGAGGAAGTATTAATATTCAATTATCACTTACTTACAATACAAAGAAATTTAAATTGCATTCATATATGTTACTGCTATGAAATTTACACATGCATCTATACTCAATTTTCACATCATTTTCTGACATTTTACATAAAATATTGGATTTTCTGGGTTTTACAAAAGATGCAAAGACTTTTATTCAAACATACTTATGACCTCACCAACATTATATATGTTGACCGTTTTCAAAATAAATTGTATTCTCAGGTAATCGTTAAACAGAAAGATTTTCAAGTGTGTATGCATTATTTTGTGTAACATTCACTCAGCGTACTATTGATACTTTGAATTTATGAAATTTATAACAATGTACTTGATGTGAACAATGTTGGTTGTTATATGTAATGTTGGTGATGAATGTGTTATGTTTCATGTATATTCATTGTGATGATAATTCAATTGTTAGTCACACGAGCCTCCGGACGTTTCCGTCGTCTGGTTCAGGGGTGTGATAATGTCACTAAAGATGGAAAGAAAATAGAAGTTGAGGAGGATGAGAGATGGGATGGTAACTGGTAGGACCCAACTTAAAATTTTCAAATATGGTTTCATGTTTAAGGTGAGGAGATACAAATATGTGGAATCTATTTTTTTTTTAAAATATATAAAAAATAAATACATAAATAAGAAAATTAATAAAAAATAAATTGAAAACGACACAATAGTTTTTTGAGGTAAGATAGGGACCAAACACACAACAAAAATAAACATTAGGGATCATCCGAGTTGAAAAATAAGTTAGGGACCCAACACACGAATTACCCAAACCACAAGAACCATTCATGTAATTTATTCTTATCTTTTTGTTTTGTTCACATCTAGGTAACTATCTTTTTTGTACATATGTATGTAACAAACTTTTTGGAAGTGTTAACATATGACCGTTATGACTGGTTACGACTGGATGTAACCTACTACAGCCAGTCATAATGGTCATATGTGATAACGTTCAAAAAGTTCGTTACATATATGTGTACAAAAAAAAAGATAGTTACACAGATGTGAACAAAACAAAAAGTTAATTACATTAATAAGTCTATTTCCCCATTTTCATTAGGTTTCTTTTGAAGTCTGTTTTTTGTTGTGTAAATATTATATAGTATTTTATTTATAACCTCCTCACTACGAAATCTGAAAGATATTGTAATCTTTATCTTCAAATATGTTTTCCACATAAATATTTTTGAGTAAATTATAGAAATGGTCCTCATGGTTTGGTCAAATTCGTAGGTTTGATCCAACCTTTGAAAAGTCAATATGTTAGGTCCTTGTGGTTTTGAATAATTACACAACTAGTCTCTTTTAGTGGATACTATTAAACATCAAACATTAAGTATTACCGATTGACTGTTTTACCTTTAAAATTTAAATAAAAAAATTAATAAAATTCAGCGACCAAATTTGTAATTTCACATATATTTTATACAACTCATTCATTTAAATTCCCTAGAACTGATGCTTGGTTCCTCCCCCTTCAGATAACCTCCCTCATCCTGCCACCTCCCTTGTCTGATCGTCATCGCTCTCTTCCGGTGAGGAGGTTCTCCCATACAACCTTCCACATACCCACCTTCCTTCTCCTCTTCCATCCTCTATGGTTGTCGCCTCTGGCATCCCATTGTTGGGTCAAGAAACAACATCACCATCCTAATCTCACTCCAACTTACAATTCGGTGAACCTTATTTTAGTGAAAGCAAAGATTTCTTGGGCGATGGACCAATGGCTCATCCCACTCCAGCTCAGGTCACCACCACCGGTTCATCCCACTCTGCTGGCATCACACTAACATGAAATTGAAGGTACTTCGATTATTTGTATTAAGGTAATCCATTATTAATCAAATTTATAACCCTAAGCTCTTACTGTGAGATGAATTTGTTGATTATTTCTCCTAGCCTTCATAATTTATACTTATATAGATGTGAGATCATGGGATTAGAGGTCAACTACAATGAGTGCTCTGTAATTCAAAGTTCTATGAAGGTCAATCATCTTTAGTGTTGCTTTGTTTGTTCTAGACAAATAAAAGCACAGGCTCTCTAAGTTCTCAAACTTCGCAACATGATGTTGCAAGGTGTCCTAGATGTGGATTATACAAGATTCTAGGTTATTCATGCTATATATTTTTCCTGTATTATTGTGTTACAAATAGTCAAAAATTTAGCTTACTCTTGGTGTCTCTAGCTCTGCCAACATACTATATTCAACAACCTATTGGGTGGTTCAGGTGTCTAGTAACAGTTTGTTATTTCATTGTGTTATATCCATGAATTGTTCCCGTCTTCATGATAGATTTCTTTTTATCTTTTATAATACCAATCGTTAAATAAAAAAGGAAAGAAAACGTTGTGTTCTGATTATGTTCTTCCGATGATGGTCGCTGGAGATGTTG